AAGGTCTAAATCTAACTGTAGGACCACAGCAGGCACTCAGCATCCTTGCTGGTGGAACATAGTCTTGCCATCTTACCTGTAATACAGCAAAGAGCCACAGGGAGGAGAGAGCAGGGATAGGAAGAAATGGACTTTCTCGTGCAGTTGATTCAAAGCCAACCCTTTGCAGCACCTAATACTGCTGCAGCCTCTTCTCCCCCCAGTCCTCCCTGGAACCTGTATGTCCTGGGGCTGCTGCCATGGTTCTGTATGGTGCCTGCGCCCCACCACGCTGCAGCTTCTCTTCTCCAACCCTGACATAGCCGGGAGGGGGGACAGGAGCTGAACAAAGCTTTGGGTCTACAAAGCAGCTCTTGATTTATGCGCAGACACTCTCCCCAGGCCTTGGTGTCACTTGGCTTTCAGCAGCAGCCAGAGGTCTGCCATGTCAGCAACAGGTGATGGGAAGAAGTGCCAGTCAGAAGCGTGTGTGGAGGGGAGCTGCAGAGCAGATGGTAGCAGGGAAATAAATTTGGAGCTGCCATCGAAATAGTCCTGGAAACAGTCCAGCCTGTGGATGGAGGCAGATGGGAAAAACCCAGTTTATATCTCTTCCCAGTTTTGCTATTTTTCAGATGCCTTTATTTCCAGCTCTGTTATCTCTTGACCATTCTTTCCTGTCTGTTGCTACACCCTCATCCTTATTTTTTTTCTCTCTTCTTATCCTGCCTTCTTTTCCCCCTTTTGTTTCTACTCACACCACATCTGAGTTCATGAAGGGTTACCCAGTCTGTGTCTGCTTCCTTATAAATCTATTCCCAGTTCCTTTATCCCAACCTCCACAGCTGATCCTAACAGATTCCCTTGGCACTGAAAGGCTCAGCACACAGATCTGACCCAGCTGTGGGCTGGAGTTCAGCATGGAAGAAAGGAGAACACCCTGTGTGCCTTTGCCCGCTTCCTTCTCTACTGTCCCCTCTGAGCTGGTGGCCTGAGGGCATGGGGCTTGCCTGATGGCTGGTATGTTCATCCCTTCTGTCTCTGCAGCGATGTCCTTGCTGGTTTTGCTCTGGATGTGGGTCCGTCCTGTGTGAACCAGGGTGTCTCTGTCGCGCGTTCACATGAATCCCTGCAGGATGCTTCAGGGGTGCGGAGGCGCATCCTTGTACAGAATGGGGGAGCTGAGCCAGGTTTGAGTCTTCTGAAGGATTTTTGTGACACTTCAAAGAGAAATTGTTCAGTTTTGAACTGAACTGGCTGTTTGAAAGGACTAGGTGGAAACATCCCATTTTGGTTCAGGTGTGATTGTGGGTGGCACGCGGGGTCCCCGGCTGGGCAGGGAGCAGGGGCCATTCCCTGGCAGCCCTCTCCGGCTGGTCTACAAACACTGCTCTGCAGTGCCTTTCACCAGTCCGGAGCCAGTGCTGGGAGCTTGAAGCACACAGCATACTGAGGGCTTGGAGACCTGGATCAGCCCCAGCTGTCAGTCCTGGATCCCAAACCTGCTCGGCGTTTCTGTGGCAGTGGGGCTGCTGCCTCCTCCATCCCACTGATGGACCAGCCACAAGTGCAAAGGTGGGCTTTTTCTTGGAGAGAGCTGTATTTGTGTCCTCTTAAGCCCAACTCCTTTATTGGTTGGCTTCCTGCAAACTCTGTCTTTATATTAAAAAAAAAAAAGTTTTAAAAAAATGATTTTGTTTAGTGTCTGCCTCATGAGAGCCAAGGGAAGTTTCACTGGGGTCTACAATAGGCTGGGCAGAAGGTGTGCTCTCTGCTGTGGGAGAACACACATTGCGTGCAACCTAAGATAGACTTAAAATTAAAAAAAACCCTGAATCTGCTGTGCTGTTACTTGGAAAGAAGGAAGTGTTTGTGCAAATGGTGGATGGGAGCAACCTGGATGCGGAGTGCTAACCCCCATGCTGCCTGCCGCAGCCCTGGCCGATGGGACCGTGCTGGTCCTGTGCTAGCACAGCACCAGCCTCCAGCTGGAGTGAGAGTATGGAGTTAGTCCAGCACCTGCCTGCACGACAGGAAGGATAGGGAGGAATATGGGGCTCACGTTTTATGGGGAGCCCAGTGAATGGCTAGTGTGCTTTTCTATGCAGCTTTACTGTGCATTGCTAAGCAGTGTGTATGGAAGCAGAAGGTACAGCGTTACCCTAAGAGATGGACAGGTGCTTCCCTCCTGCTTGTATTTACTGCTGCCTGCTTCTTTCTTTGATGATGGTGACTAACAGTTCATCAATGCCTGGGTTTACTGGCTCTATTTAGGACTTTCTGCCCCTTGAGTGACAGCAGGATGTGTGAGCAAGCTGAGACTCCTAGACCTTTTCTGGCAGGATTGTTAGGGCAAGAAAATACTCTGGAAACCACAATGTGAATCATTTGTCTATCCAAGTGGATGACACTATGCCCCAGCCATGCTGCTTTGCAGTCAGACCTGTGCGGTGGGATCAGCGTGTCCAGACCAGCTCCCTGGAGTCCTGAAAACCTACAGGACAGGTTTAGTGTTAAAAACATGAAAGCCCAAGCCTGCATGCCCTTGCCGCGCACTCATCGATGTGTTTGTAGCGCACTGTCCTCTGGGACCCGCAGGTGCATGGTGCCTGGCTAGCAGAAAAGGGCGCAGATACACACCTCCACACCTCCGTTCTGGGGCATCCTCTCTTTCCTGGAGGTTTCTGCTCCCTGCCATGTTTCACAGGGCAACAACGTTCCTCCTTGGCACTTGTGCTATACCTTGCCAAAACAGGCTGTTTAATCACCCTAGGATTGTGGGGACAAAGAGGGGCTTGGGGAGGAGATGGGAATTGTCCAAGGTCATACGGCTAAAACCAGCCAAGAAACCAAACTCAGCTTCCCTGCTGCGCTGACCTGCGGGGCCACAAATTCAAACAAAATGGCCTTTTTATTACGGACTGCTCTGGGGGATCACCGTAGGCTTTGCAGAGTGAGCTGTGCCATGAAATGCTGCTCCAGGGAGTTTCATGGTAAAGCTTCATGGGCACCAGCAGGGTTGGGTCTTCCTCCTGGTTTTTGGCCAAGCTTTCTCCCTGCCATCTCCTCCAGCCCATGCCTGTTGTCATGCTGCAAACACACATGCATTTGTGCACGTGAAACATTTTGATGGCCAAGTGTCCATCCCTAGTCTCTGCATGCCTCTGCAATACTGTCAAACCGCTGCTGAACTGCAGCCGCCTCTGGGATGGGAAGTGGCAGCTGCTGACATTGCTGTGCAATGCTATTCCGCCTTTTAGGATGGGGAGCAAAGGTTACCATTTCTAATTGAAATACGAGGGTATTCTGGGGGAAGTAGGAAATGACTGCCTGGCGGGAGGGTGCCAGCCCTTTGTGTAGGGAACTAGAAAGGAATGAGAATGGTTAATGGTGCAAACTCTACATGCATTGCCAAAAATGAACTCATGTCTGTAAATATTACACTGCGTGCAGCAAGATTAGCACAGGAAAATACCAGTTGTTAGGGTTCCTGTTACCATCTAAATTATGCAAACAATTTGCTTGAGTTTATAGATGAGCTGGGGCAGAATAACGTTGGGTTTTTCCTAGCCAAAGTGTTTCAGCGTGCTAGTATTTTAGCATGTTTCCCAGCCTCAATCTGCTACACAAGTGGATCCATGCTGTGCTCTTTTGGGACGGCATGCTGTCAAGTGTGGCCTTTTCCAGGCCACGTTGGAAACGTGGAGATGTCAGGATGCTGGTGAGATGGTGACCTTGCATGTGTGCTACCTGGGGGCCCTAAGATGGGTACGAAGGCTCGAGGGCTCACCAAGCCTGGGGCTGGAGGCTGTGCGCGCCCTGCCACGCGTGTGTGGTCGAGGAGCTCTGGGGACCTCTGCAAGAGGGAAGCGGAGATATTCCTGGTTCCTGGCTGTAGCAGAGCCGCTCGGGCTGAAGATGCCGATTGCCGTTCAGAGGCCAGACACCACCGCGATGGGCTCTGTGGAAGGAATGATAAACATTGGCTCTTCCCAGTGGCTGTCAGGGAGGTTAACTGACTTTCCCACGGCCAGTGCGGAGGCGGGATTAGCAGCTGGGTGTCCCTGGCCGCTGGCCCTGACCGTGTGCCGCCGCCAATTGCATAATCCGGAGGGAGTGCGTGGCCACGGAGCTGCCGCAGCCTGCGCGTCCCCGCAGGAGCTAGCCCCGAACCCCGGCTCCCCCCGCTCCCTGTCGTGACTTGGGTGGAAATAGGTCGGCTGGAGCCATGGTCTTCCAGGGAGCTTTGGGGACGCCTGAGTAAGGAGGACAGAGGCACGAGCCAGTGCCCTCCATAAGCCACGTGCTGGTGAATGAGCCCAGCCGTGCTGTTAGATGCTGGAGAAGCCCCATCGTCGTGAAACCTGGCTGTCCAAGTGCTGCTGTTCAGGGACTTGCTCGCTTTGAACAGTTAATGCCTTGAGCTTCCTTAGGGTAAAAGCTGGAGGAGGACCAGGTACAGTAGTTTTACTGGCAGTAAAACTTCAGCGTGACCCTCATGTTGAAGGCAAGTCTAACCTCCCCCGTGAAGGTATATTCTATTACTTCTGTGGGCTGTCAGCTCGGTCCCCAGGGGCACAGCCCGTGTCCTTTCTGGGCCCTACAGCCAAGGGACAGCCCTTTGCTGGTTCCCGGGACCACAGCCCCTCTGGCCCCCGTGGGGCTGTGAGCCACTTTGTCCCTTCACCAGAGGCAGTGCAGAATTAACATTGAGTCTGTAATTTAGCTGAGGACTGTTACGAGACACAATCTACCTCTAAAGCCAAGGCCAAATAGTACTAGCATGGGGTCAAGTTCCTGAGGCACACTCTGCCTTTGGGACTAATTTGGGTGCTGAGTAGCCAGGCAGGTATTTACATGTTGCCTACAGAGCCCTAGAGGTCTCTGGATCCTATTCTTCTCCCTTGGATCACCTAAAATGGTAAGAATTTTCAAGAGGGATTAAGGTTGTGATCTCTGGGGAGGGGAGTGGACATCTGGTAGGAGTCCCATCCATATTAATAGCCTCCGTTTAAATGTATGTTATCAAACGGGGCAGCTCCTAATCGGCCAAGAGACTGTGAACTCTGTTACCTAAGGGGCTGCTGGTGACTTTGGGCTGCTAATCATGGCTTTCCACAGGCACACAGGTAAATTGGATGTGCTGCTGGGCGTTGTGGGAGAAGCCCTGTGTACGCAATTTCTGGTAAACAGGGAGGAAGGTATTGCTAACAGGCTCCTGCACCAGGAAAATAACACATTTGAATGCACTCTTAAGCCTAGGCGATCTGCAGCTGTAACTAATGATGGCAAACCGGTTTATAATCAGCGTGGGGGACTGGTGCTGGCAGCATGGTGGTGGTTTCATCTATTTTGTAAAATGCTTTGGATGGTAAGTGCTTGCATATCTGCTGCTGTGGGAAGGCTGGGGCTCAGCTGTTATTTGAGGAAGACTAGGTGAAAATATGGGATGCTGCTGCTTCTTGCAGCAAGCTTGCTATGGCTGTTATTGCAGCGAGCAGGGGAAACCCATAGCAGAGGGGAGCATGCAGGAGCCTAGTGAGTAAACCCGGATGGTTTGCACTGCTCTGGTGGGAAGTTTGTGGTTACTCCCTCTTCTCTGTGTTTGTCTTGGAGATCAAACAGGCTGAACCTCACCAGTGATAGGAAAATGTTAACTTTTCCTTCCCATTAACATTGACAGGAATCTTGAGAGTATGTTTTGCATGGCCTCCACGGCATGCAGTTGTGTTGTGTCTTCCCATCCGTGATTAATTTCCTTTAGCCCTCCAATTCCAGACAGTTGAAAGCTCATTGCAATTTTTAAAAAGGTTATCTGATTCTTAGAAGCTAACCATGTTTGTGTGTGTGTCCAACAAGTATTTACGGCCGTAGATCACAAATTACAATGGCAGTGCCATTGCATCTCTTGATGAGACATAGCCCAAGGGGTGGACATGCCTGGGGAGAGGGTGTCAAGTTTGGGGCACAGCTCCCATGGGCATCAAACCCAGCTGCCGCACACCAGGAGCCAGGGGACAGTGGTGCTCATAAGACACGGTTGGGAACATAAAGCCTCTTCAAAACTGGGAGGAAAGTCACAGCATGCTGTTCAACTTCACACTCAGCCTCCCAGGACAAGGCACGAGCATGAGGCTTCTTGCATGGCACGTAACTACTTAGGATTTGCTTGTATGATGCAGATATACGTTATGCAAGGTACCTTTCTGAGTAAAATCTGACTTCTGTGGTATAATTTTTAAACATCTCAAAGGTGTTTAAAAAGAGCAATCCATTCAATTAAAATGTAACAAGACATTTTTTAACTTCAGCCCACAAGACTGACCGATGCTGTAGCATCCTTTCATTATATTCCCAGCTGTATCTTTGTTTTCTTTCTCATCTTCCCCAGGGAGGTGTTCTCTGGGGCAAGGACCCATGGATTTGATGTTGTGCTGTAATATAAAATGCTGAAGTGTCCTCTGAGCAGATGCTGCAGTTGGAGTGCTGCCACCAACAAGTTATAGTGTCCGCTCCCACACCCCACAGGGAGCCCCACTCTCCGGGACAGCTACAGTGGGTACCGTAGTGCCTGCCCCAGGGGGGTGAATCCTCCACAGCAGGAGAAAGGCTCACGTTTGGCTCCTGGGGGCACCTGGGCACGAGAAGGGCATCCAGCTACTGAGGTGGGGGCAGATCCGTGCATAGCTGGGAACATAACTGAGGAGTCTCAAAGGTCAAAGCTTAAGGCAGCCACGCAGCGAGTTAGCTATTGAACAGGATTCTTTTGCTTTAGCTGATTTGGTTAGTTTTGAAAGGTTTGGAATTCACTGCTTAAACTCTGCCTAAGTGCTCAGCCTTACTCTAGGCAGTGGTGCTGTGCACACTGGGAGCCTTGTTAGCATTAGCTGAGCTCTGTATTAAGTGCAAAAGGAAGCCCTGAGGGAAGAGTTTGCAGGGCTGGAGCAGTGTGTTTTTTTAACAGCACATCCCTACTTCCCTGGGGAACTGTGAAGATTTAATAGTGATTGGGATGTGCTCAGACATGGTGGCAATAGGACCGTAGGGAATGCTTTTGGCAACCGCCTGAGGAACTTGGAGCTGTTCTTGTTCTAAATAAAGAAGCTTCCATTTTATCAACAGACTAATTTTTGAATTATAGAGTATGAGACTCGCACGTGCCCCAGCCTGGCAATGGGAGAGCACAGCTCTCCACTTGTTACTGCCAGCCCTCCCAGCAAAAATGACCTGCAAATTATTTCTTTCTTTCCTTTGACTTTGCAAATGTTTGTTGTCCAGCACAGTGTGCCAGTGACCTTGAGGTGCAGTCCTGAGTGTTGCTTTGCATTTCAGATTAATGGGACCCTCTTTTAAGGGTATTCCCTGGTATTTATAGCAAACCATGAGACATTGCATAGAGGAATGCTGAGAATAGTAACTCAGGTGACAGACCAGAGGATGCCAGGTTCTGAGCTGAAATAGGCAGGTGTAGCCAAGGCCTGGCAGTGTGGGGGCTGAGCTTGCTAAGAAAAATAAAACTGATGAAGAGTCAAAAAGCAATTGCTCTTTTCCTTTCATATTGCCATAGAATATGCAGCTTGTGTGTGGGGCAGAGGGTTAACACCTTCGTCCTAATCTCCTTTTCCAAGTGGCAGGATAATCCGTAAAGTTGAAGTACAGTTTCCCTGATTGTTTTTAGAGACTGCACTTCAAGTTCTTCCTTGGTGGTTTATCACATTTAAACATATTCCCTAGAGACATTAACACATATCCTGTGCTAAGTGCTTTACTTATCAGCTATGCTTCAGGTCCTTTCGCTGAGTGCTTCGGTTCCATTTGCTGTGCAAACCACTGCGATGCTGCCTTGTGGTATGTAGCTCGACTGAACTGGGAGGAACCAGCCTAGGGGAGATGGGGAGACAGGAACCGACGGGAGAGACAGCGGGTTGTGTTAATGCAATAGCTTTTGTGGAGTAGCACTACTTAGGTCCGTACCTTTTCCATCCCAAAGCTTGCCATGCTGCAGGGTGCAGAGAGCCCTGACCGCTGGCTGGGACAGCCCTGTGACTGCTCCACAGCACGGTGTCAGTTTGACTTGAGGTGCGTGGAAGCCGGTGGGGCCCAAACATTTGAGGTCTTCAAAAGATGGAAGGCATAGTTGTCCAAGGGCTGAGGAGCTGCTTTTGAAAAGCAGCAGATTCTCTGGGGACAAGTGGCTAACTGGCACCTCTGTGGTCAGGTAAATGTTAGGGTTGAATTCCAGTGGGTCTTTGTGCCAAATACCCTGATACTCGAGAAGGCCACAGGTCTGGCCAGCCGCCCTCAAGCTGTAGCCAAATCCATCAGGGAGCTACATTTAGACAGCACCCTGCCAGGGCTGGTGGGAGAGGGACACCTTGCTTAAAGGAGGATTAGTTTCTGGAAGTATTGGTGGATTTTTCTTGAGCTCTTATTTTTATTGAGGGTCCTCTAGGCTATTTAAGGATGAGCATGTACTGCACCTACCCCTCTCCCCAGCAGCCTGCGCTGTCTCTTCTCACCTGCTTCTCTCCAGCAGAACATCCTCTGCACATGGATGTCAGCCTGGGCCAGAGAATAGCTTCAGTCTGTCCCTACCTTTCCTCTGTTTTCTAAATCCCCTTGTGTGGCCCCAGAGTCAAGCTGAAATGGGGTTTGGATCAGTGCGTGTCCTCAGGGTACGTGATTCTGCTGGGATTAAACAGGAGACACTTGACCAGGCTGTTCGCTTGGAGACACTGTAGCCTGGTGTAAAGGCACAGCCAAAGAAACTGTGTTCAAACAACTTCCAAGCTAAAACAGCTGTGTGTACCACTGTCGTTTTAAGCACACCACTGTGAAAAGAAGCACAGAGGTAGAGCGCTTACGGTTTTAGTGGTTAGTTTGTTGAGTGCTTACCCTGAGCGCAGAGTTTTGCATTGCTGTAGCGTGGTTCTACCGCTGATGCGAATCCCTCCTGTGTGCTCAACAGCTGCTGCGCAGCTTGCACAGGGAAACTATGCAGCATGCACTAAAATAAAGGCCCCAAGGAAGAGCGAGGAGTCGTCATGTTTTTTCCATATACCCAGTGTGTCCTTAGTTTCATGACTTCCCTATTTTCCAGACAGCAAAGACAGGCCAGGGTTAATATACCTGGAAGCTCTGGAAAGTTAAGTTGTGGGGATGTGGTGCAGCCGGAGGGTGAACAGGTTATTAAGGAGATAAATATCTCCAAACCCATGATCTGCTGCCAGCCAGGCTTTAGAAGATTTATTTTTTTTATGGAGCACAACAAATTTCTGTTCTGTCTACCTTCTGTGAGAGGGGACAGGACAGCAGTAGGATACTAAGTGCTTCTTCCTCAGGGCAGCAGAACTCTGAGGTATCCATGGACATTTGCTCTGATCTGGAAAAATGATCTGGTGGTCCCAGCACGGCTGCTACTGCCACAGGGCCCCACTCTGCCACAGACTGGTGGCTTTTGGAGCTCTCGTGCACCAGCCCCTGGGTGGGCTGCTCCCGTGGGAGGGTTGTAGGAGATGGACTGGCTGACGAGAGCTCTCGGCACGGTGAGATGGGTGAGCAGAGATCATGAACAGCCAGCACGTTTCTTGGCACAACATGGTCAGTGTTTGCATCCCCATTGCAGGCACGGGGGATAGAGGTGCCTTTCCGGGGTCTGGATCAGGGTAGGGATGACACCACTGAGGGCAGAAAGCTCCTGTAAGAGCTGGAAGAAAATTCATGCCCCAGCCTATGTATGAGAGGGACTTTTTGGTCCATGAGATGGCATGAGGCAGGTAGAAGTTGGCCTGTCTGCCTGCACAGCCCAACTCCTGGGACTATCAGGCGTAGTGTTAATTTGTTTGTGGAGCTCCAAAGCTGCTGTGATAAATGTGTGTCTCCTGTTAGCGCGTCATGCGTTACATGGGAACACAAGCTTATGTTACTCCCTGAGCCATATGTTCACGATCACGTGTTCTGGCTGAAAGCAACCCTAAACCCAAGATCAGGAACGTTTTGATACCATTTGCCCTGGACTCTGTGCAATTGCATTTCTTCTAAATAAAACCCACTTGCTTGATAAAGCTCTGCAAAGCTGGCCGTGGCTCACATAGTTTCCATGTTTCCCAACTGTTTATTTGTTTCATTTACTTGAACCGGTACAAACACAACCCTTGGCGTAGTTGTCAGCAGGACGTGGCCGTCTCCTGACCTTGGCAAGGCAGCATTTCCAGACCTCGGTCCCCATAGAGTGCAATTCCTGCCAGCTTGGACTCCAGCCTGCTTCTATAAGTTTTAGGGGAAGGGTGTGAACCCAGCCCCTACCTCTGCTGCAGCCTCCCTATGTGATGCTCCTCTCCAGGACTCTCTGTCTTGCCTTCTGGAAGAGAAATGCTCCAACTTGTTCTGGCCTGATGTTATTGAAAGGGTGACAAAGGGGAGACAGTGAGATGGCTTTTGGATTTTAAAATCTCCAGAGTAACAGTGTGAGTCCAGTCTCGTGTCCCAGCATCTTCCACTGCCCATCCAGCAGCTTCCTGAGCCCAGAGATGAGGCAGAAGGAGAGCTCTGAAATAGCAGCAAAATGTTCCTTTGCAGGCAGGCACCTCCCTGGGCTTTGCACATGGCTGCGTCAGGGCTGCTCATGGTGTGCTGCCAACATCACCTTCCTCCAAAAGGGGAAAAAAAGAAAAAGGGGGGTTGGCAAAGGAGATGGTGAAGGCAGCAGCCGCCCCTCGCTTCTTGCTGCGGTGTCTGGGCAGTGCCAGGAGCTGTTGGGTTTGATGCGTGCTCTTCTGGCGAGGTGTGCTCGCTCCGGTGCCTCGGCTGCAAGGCTCCACTCCGCTCAAAAGCGGCCGCGATGCTCCATCAGCCCCGGGGGCTCCTGTGCCAGCGTGGGGATTTCTCACGCCGACAGGTTGGGCCACACAGTTGACGGTACATCTAGAATTACCAGAGTGGGCAAGTGCCCAAGAAAAAGCTGTGTAAACAAGTCCTCGTGCCGTAACAACACGGGCAGTCCTGCCTGCGCGGCAACCTGCGGCTGAGCCCAACAGGGTCCTGCTGACTCTCCCCCAAAAAACCCCCAACCCAAGCCCTGTTTCAGTTTATAAAGGTGCTGTGCTGGGGCTTGGAGCAGCAGGGCTGTAACGAGCAGCCGCTGAGCTCCATCAGGAGCGGGAAGCAACGCAGCCCCTCAACCCCAGGGCTTGGGAGCTTGGTGGGGTGGTCCGAGGTGAGGCTATGTGATGGAGGTGCTAACGGCCTCCCCCACCTCACAGCTGGAAGCAGCAGCAATTTATATTGCCTGACCGCATCCTTCTCCCCTTCCTGCTCCGCTCTGGCGCTGCAGCTCTATCGGGAAAAGAATAATTAAATTTCCTCTTGGCAGCCCCCGTTGCCAGACCGCCGCTGCATCTCCTGTCCGGTTGCTGACGGTGCAGAAAGTTCAAGGCTGTGTCGTGGGTGGGTGGCCGTGCAGGGGGGAACGGGGCTCCGCAGGGCTGGGGGCTGCGGGGGGGAGGATGGAGCTGCGTTTTGGGGACCGCACGGGCTTGTGTAAGCCTGGCAAGAGCTTTTGCAGCTCCCTCGCAGGAGTGTTGGTGGCTTCCTCTGAGGAAGGGCGTTGGGGAAACGGAGGGAGCCGTTAGCAGAACTGGTCTGGGAGGCTGAGACGGGGCGTGCAGGCTGGGGTGGGTGTTTGGGGAGAAAGCGTGAGCGTGTACCGCCAGCCAAAGTGGAAAATCCTCCGGGCGAGAGCCCCCACACCCGCTGATGTGCTGGCTCCCTGGCCATGGTGGAACATCATGCCTTGGCAGAGCCCTGCTGGCATGAACCGAAGAAGTATCTTTATGTGTAGAGAGATCTTTTCTTGTTTGGTTTTTTTTTTTTCCTTATGACTTTATATGTGAAAGCCCAGTGAAAAGAAGCAGCTGGAAGCTGCACAACTATCCAGCACAAAAGGCCTCGGCGGGGGCTGCAGCTGGCTAGAAACATGGAAACTATTCTGCTCTGCTCATGGTTGTCGGTGATTTCTGCACACAAATTATGCGGCACCTCAGCCAGGACCTCGCCGAGGCCTGCAGTGGGCCTGGCCGTAATGAACTAAGTGGCTCTCAGTGAGTGATTAGGTACCGTTATCCTTGCCTGATGTGAAATATGTAAATAAAACAATCTAGTATCCTTCCTCTTAGTGATGGGCCGGAGCCCATCCTGCCTCTCTGTAGGCAGAAATCTAGCGTTGGTATCTCAGATGGCCGTTAAGGGAACTGAAAAGATTTGTGTTACTAATGCATTGCTGTATTGGGTTTACACGGCAAGATTCTGGTAGCAGGGGGCTTCTGTGAGAAGCTGCTGGAAGCTTCCCCCATGTCCGACAGAGCCGATGCCAGCCGGCTCCGAGACGGACCCGCCGCTGGCCAAGGCCGAGCCCATCAGCGATGGCAGTAGTGCCTCTGGGAGAACAGATTTAAGCAGGGGAAAAAAACTGCAGCCAAAGAGAAGAGTGAGAATACGTGAGAGAAAAAACTCTGTGGACACTATGGTCGGTGAAGGAGGAGGAGGAGGAGATGCTCCAGGCACCAGAGCAGAGATTCCCCTGCAGCCCGTGGGGAAGACCATGGTGAGGCAGGCTGTCCCCCTGCAGCCCAGGGAGGTCCACGGGGGAGCAGATCTCCACCTGCAGCCCGGGGAGGACCCCACGCCGGAGCAGGTGGGTTCCCGAAGGAGGCTGTGACCCCGTGGGAAGCCCACGCCGGAGCAGGCTCCTGGCAGGACCTGCAGCCCCGAGGAGAGAGGAGCCCATGCTGGAGCCGGTTTTCTGGCAGGACTTGTGACCCCGCGGGGGACCCACGCTGGAGCAGTCTGTGCCTGAAGGACTGCAGCCCGGGGAACGGACCCACACTGGAGCAGTTCATGAAGAACTGCAGCCCGTGGGAAGGACCCATGTTGGAGAAGTTCATGGAGGACTGTCTCCCATGGGAGGGACCCCACGGTGGAGCAGGGGAAGAGTGTGATGAGTCCTCCCCCTGAGGAGGAAGGAGTGGCAGAGACAACGTGTGATGAACTGACCATAAACCCCATTCCCCGTCCCCCTGCACTGCTTGGGGGAGGAGGGAGAGAAAATCAGGAGTGGAGTTGAGCCAGGAAGGAGGGAGGGGTGGGGGGAAGGTGTTTTGAGATTTGGTTTTACTTCTCATTACCCTACTCTGATTTGGTTAGTAATAAATTAAACTAATTTCCCCAAGCTGAGTCTGTTTTGCCCATGACGGTAGTTGGTGAGTGATCTCTCTGTCCTTATCTTGACCCACGAGCCTTTTGTTATATTTTCTCTCCCCCGTCCAGCTGAGGAGGGGAGTGATAGAACAGCTTTGGTGGGCACCTGGGGGCCTGCCAGGGTCAACCCACCACAACTGCTTACACTAACTGTAGTGGCAAGCACAGCGCTTCCCGGAGGCAGGGCAGCCCCTGCCCTTGCTGAGCTCCAGAGCGCAGCCAGGAGTTGGCCCACACGGCCTCACGCTGCAGCCCGCATTTTTCTGAGACTTCGTGGTTACTTCTCTCTCTGTGTCCTAAATGGCAATTCGTGACCTGGGAGGGGACATCCAAGCTGCCTTCTTTAGCAGGTGTATGTTTGTGACTGCTGTGACCAAACCCAGATTGTCTATTGCACCCAGCCTCCCTGAGCAGGATGGTTTGTTAGCCTAACCTAGACCCTGAAGACAAAGCTGGAGACACCTGGAAAATGCCAGTGCAGTCGGTAGAGAGCTGTCGTGTTTTATAAACCACTGAGCTGCCTGATAGAAAAATTGCCCTAACAGTGCTGGCACCGAAGCTGCTTTCTCTACCAACAAGCCCTTGAGGAGCGTGACACCACCACATGCTCATTGCTGAGCCATCTTTCTGATACTTATTTGCATAGACCTGAGAACCTGAAGCACTTATCAGGGCTTCAGTGCTGTAACTTCACTTTCTTTCCTCTCGCAGGGCCTGGCAGTTACACCGTGGGCACCATGTCGGAGCGCTTTGACTGCCACTACTGCCGTGACCCTCTGCAAGGGAAGAAGTATGTGCAGAAAGAGGGTCGTCACTGCTGCGTCAAGTGCTTCGAGAAGATCTGTGCCAACACCTGCATTGAGTGCAAGAAACCCATTGGAGCTGACTCCAAGGTGAGTGCTGAGCAGTTAAATGGGTAACGAGAAGAAGACAGGCAGCTGCTGATAACCCTCCCATTTGTTTTCCTGGCTCTGGTCTGTTTGTGAGCTTCTGTGTGAAAACAAGTTCTGTCGTGAGTCCTCGGGCTGATGGGCCATGTGCTCCTTGGGCAAAGAGCCAGAGGCTCTGGGGCACTGCAGCAGGACTGCTCATGACAGGCTGCTTTTGCACAGGAGCTTATTTCACCATCTAGATTCAGCCACATGAACTGCGGCAGACGCTGAATTGTCCTGAAGAGAGTACTGCAGGTAATCCAGCCCGCACAGGACTTGCAGAAAACTCATCTTCTGGGCAAAGCACTCAGCAAGCTAGGGTCTGATTTTTTTGTCAGCTTGTGAAATGTTTATTACTTCATGTTCGTGGCAGTAATAATGTACACCTGAACTAGAGGGAACTTGACAATCAGAGAAGCCCCCACTTACAGAACTTCTAATCTCAAAGCTGTTGGTTTGAAGCATCTTCTGCTACCCTGAAAGTCCAAAATGAATGCGATTGTGTCCGTGAGTTTGGTTAAATGTCCTTCCCTTAACTGCTTGCAGATGAGCTGCACTTCCAACCACTGAATGCAGAGATGCTTAGGAACTAACAAATCTATCCTCAGCTGCCAAGGCTGATGAGACAGTAGCTTGGTTTTAGGGCTGCTCAGCAAGAGAGAAGGGCTTATTGCTCACTCTGTTTCTGTTCATTTCAGGAGTTGCATTTCAAGAACCGTTACTGGCATGACAGCTGCTTCCGCTGCTTCAAGTGCTATACGTCCTTGGTCAACGAGCCCTTCATGCTAAGGGAGAACAACAAGGTTTGGTGTAGCAACTGCACTGCTGCTGAGGATGCGCCCAGGTGTAAAGGCTGCTTCAAGCCTATTATTGCAGGTACTGGTGCCAGTGACAGGGGTACAACTGCCCAGTTCTGATCTAGGGCAAACCCATGACGGTTTGTCAAGCTGTGGAGGCTGTAGAAGCTGCAGTTAGGGGTACGGTGGGCATCATAGTGGAAGGCTGGAGCACCACAAAATGGTGCAAATTTTGACTGTTGCTCTCACCTGTCCATTTTATTAAAGTGTTGAAAGGCTGCTTTGCAGTTAACCCTCATGCGGATAGCTTACTCTAGCAGTTAGTCTTAAACCATTTCTACAAAAAGCTCTGCTCTGTAAATCAAGGTCCTCTTCTCAGATAGGCTCAGGCACCTGTCCGACTTTAAGAAAATCTAGAAGGCCCTGGCTAAAGTCAGATATGGAAATTAACAGCTTATCCCTTGTCCATGTTACAATTGAATCCTGGGCATAGGTATGGACACATCTTGCCTACAGGCGTGCTACATTGCACAGGGTTGGGAGTTTGTCACAAGCCTGAAATCCCACATCACAAGTTATTTCTGTCTGTTGTAGGAGACCAAAATGTTGAGTACAAGAAGATGGTCTGGCATAAGGACTGTTTCACTTGCAGCCAGTGCAAGAAAGTGATTGGATCTGGGAGCTTCTTCCCAAAGGGCGATGACTTCTACTGTGTCTCCTGCCATGAGCATAAGTTTGCCAAGACCTGTGCTAAATGCAAGAACGTAAGTCTTTCCACTTTGCAAAGGCAGCTGCCAGAACTAGCCCTCACATGTCTTTTGGAAGGTAGGAGAGTAAACCAGTAGACAGATCATGGTGAAGCTGTACCAATGCTTATGTTCTTTCCTTGAGATACTGGCACAAACAGCTAGTGCTATAACAACATGAGAGAGAATGGTTCTTTCATGTTACAGTACCTGAGCAGGGGCTGTAGGGTTATCTGATGGCAGCTCTGCTGAAATCAAGTGGGCACCGGCCTTGCACTTGCTTTGGGGATGGTTTGAGCTCTCTAGCAGGTATTGTATATTCAAGCAGTAAAACAGTATTTTATAAAATAGCTGTTTTACAACTTTTGCAACTCATTAGTGTAGAATTGAAGAGTCAATGCAGGTGAAATAAACCATTATGAAAGCTCCAGGCATGCAGGATTTCAGGCTTGAGGAACTCAAGTGCACTACACTATTTAATTTTAATGAAAATTTCAAGAGATCTTCTCTGTGACAAAGCCCTCCTACCTTACACCCCATGCCTCCATCACCTCTCTTCCTCCCTACTGGTTCTGAAATACATCTCTGCTCTTCGCCTCCTAGCCCATCACTTCTGGAGGCCTCACGTACCAGGAACAGCCTTGGCATTCAGAGTGTTTCATTTGCTCCAACTGCAAGAAGCAACTGGGTGGGAAGCGCTTCACAGCTGTAGAGGATCAGTTTTACTGTGTTGACTGCTACAAGGAGTGTGTTGCCAAGAAGTGTGCTGGCTGCAAGAATCCTATTACAGGTATGTTGGATTAAATGCAGCTTGAGGGCAGTGGGTGCTTAAGGTCAGAACAGCAATCCCCAAAGACATGCAGCTCAGAGGCTGCTAAAACCAGAAGCAGATCTAGTATACCAAGCCCAGTCCCAGCAATTTACATGTGATCTAACTATAAGCCATGATAAGCCACGTGCTCTTGCTGGATGAAGTCGGAGTTAGTAAATGAGCTCTTCCTTTACCCTTTGCACGCCTCAAATTTACCTCCTTCAAAAAACTTCCCCAACTAGAACTGTTCCCACCTCTATCTTAGTTTGGGAACCTTAAGTCTACAAGAGAGCAGCGTTTTATTGCCCCAAAGTGACATTTGCTTTGCTTCCGATTTACATGTAATGGTTACTGGATTGCAAAGCTCAGCCCTGAAATGTGGGCACTATCCTGCCAGTCCCATGGGACTTGCATTCCATTCTGCATTTTAGAGCATGGATCTAAGCCCGTAGCAACCAGGTAGGGTGTTTAGCCCAACCTGTCTTTGCTTTACATCTTGATCTTTCCTTCAGCTTGATTGTTTCCTGGAGAAGGGATCCAAGGAAAAAAGCTTATAGCAGAGACAAGCCACACAAGCCTTATGCTAAGCTGCCCGCTTCTCCAAGAGCAGTGATACTAAGCAGCAAACAATGTGGTTCGGTTGCAATTCTTGCTAGTATTTTAGGCACACAGATACGGTCTGCAGGACTAGAGAAGCACAGGAAGCAGTAAGAATGGGATCTGCTGTTTGGTGGGCTAACCCAGCCAAGGGAAAAGCTACTATCGCCGTCCTATAATTGTTTTCTCTCCTAGCAGGATTTGGAAGAGGAACCAGTGTGGTTAACTACGAAGATGAATCCTGGCACGATTATTGTTTCAAATGCACAAAGTGTGCCCGTGGTCTGGCCAACAAGCGCTTTGTTTGCCATAATGGAAAAATTTACTGTGCTGAGTGTCCCAAACGACTGTAAGGAGCAGACAGCAACTGCTGTAAAATGGATTTTAGAGCCCTGCTTTCCAAAACAGTCCTGGTAAAGGAGCAGGTTTTTGCATGTTAAGAATTTTAACTTTTTCCATTTTAGTATAAAAACTAAAGTAGCCTCAATATACTGGGTTTGACTTTTGAAGCTCCTGCAGTACAAAAGCATGTAGCATTGCAAAAATCTAACTTTGTTTCTGAGTAACTCTTAGTGTAAAGGCTTGAAATGCTGTTAGATTTAGCATTAGAGATCCACATACTAAATAATCTGTGTGTGGCTTAAACTAAAACAAAGCTAGTTTTAAACTTGTCTGGTATACGTTTAAGCTTGGCACTTACTTAAATGAAGTGGGTTTGACAAGGCATGCACCTCAGAAACAGAGATGCAAAGATTGCACCTGGTATCAGAGAGATCCATTATTATGCTTTTACAAGTACATTACATACATCATCACACCATTAATAGCAGCTCTATAATAAATACCTTAGCTTACCCTACCACACCAAATTGCAGCACGTGTATGGAATGGCTTCATCTTACATATAACAATGTTTTGGCAATACAATTTAGCTCTAGTTAAGTTTCCATAAACTTTAGTCTTGATTTCTGCATGGTTTGCCCAAAAGTTTTGCTCATCAGCTTTTTTTACATCATTGTTTAAACGAGGCTGTCTCTATACAATTATTAATCCATTAACAAGAAGTAAATCTTTCAACTACAACAAAATGCACAGGCATTTAGAATTGCCTTAAAAATAGCTCAGACAACGATAGCTCTCCTATCATGTCAGTGTATGTTTTATGATTTAATAAAAATGAGACTAGTGCCTGCTTGGAGTCCTGCAGCCTGGAAAATTGTTTTTTCATTTTGCCATCTTACACAGTTGACACCTCTTATGGCTGGGCTACCACAATCAAGTCTCATACATTGATACTGGCAAAGTAGAGTCAGCTGTTCTGTCATAGCACCCTTAAATATCTGAGGACCAAAGCACCAATTTCCATGAACTAATTATTAAAAAAAAAATATAACTGACACTGGACCATCTGCCAGAAACAGCCTGTGTGAAAAAGCCCTTTGGAGAACATATGTACAGCCACTGTCCATACACAGATCTACTACCCTTCAGTAACCTGAATGCTGGTTTAAGGGTTTTTTTTTTCCACAGTAGTGAAATATAGAAATACTTATCAACTGGATGCTGCTCCAGTCGTTCCCTTTCATTCACAAACACCTACCAGAAACAAAGAACTCTTTTAAGAAAAACAAAAGGCAGCATCGTGCTGTATTCTTGGTGATCACTGCTCCACCGTGGCCATGGAGCACTGCTGGACTCACCACTAATATATAAAGATGCTGGAGCTAGAAGTAAAAGGCAAAGGCTTTTAGTGAAAAGCAAGTGAAAGACTTCAACAGTTATGAACATGTCATCAGCATGTACAAACACAGCAAGGTCTGAAGGTGTTAGTACAAATACCTTTGCAACCACACAAATGCAATTGCCAAAGAGGCTACTAGTTTTGGGAACCTGCACTGTGGAGTAGTTAGAGCAGTACCAGAGTGCATCTCAAGGCAGGTCAGCATGGCAAGAGGTTGGAGCCTCCTAGCAAGGTAACGTTTAGCATTACAGAAATAAAGCATTGTTCAACTGCAAAGTTTATTTAACAGTGCGCACATATTTACATAGAGCTGTAACAGACCATTCAACACAATATCGGCACAGAAAAAAAAATATCGGCATCTTTTTTGTTAGAATGATTGTCTCTGCCAGAATGAAACAGCTATCATACAAAAATACATTTTTCCTTTTACCTAAGGCACTGCTCTAAAGTCTAAAACAGTTCTACTGTATTCTGAATAGCAAACAGCAAGAGTAAGAAGGCGGAGGGTTTCCAACTGTAACTGCAATGTCAAGGAAAGAACACATGTAGTTCCAGCAAAACCATTTGCATTTAACCACTGAAAACACAGCTGCCATTTGGATGATTCACTTGAATTGAAGTATCAGCCAATTGTTTATAGCAGGATTTGAGACAGCTATCCTTTAAAGTAATCACTTATCCAGTATATCTGTTACAGGAGACATAAGAACAAGACTCCATTATTACTTTCAGTAGCAATTTTCAGAAGATGCTTAGTTAATCTCTTCATGCTGTAAAAAGCAGGCAAGTTTAGGTTAAATAGATTACTTAATGCAGGCTTTAGGGGAAGGGAAATATATATGCAGCTTGCAGCCACTGTTATAAAGCTAGAATAGGAACACTTAGAATAATTAACATGAAAAAAACATGACTTCAGTGGTCTAATACTGTTATGTACACAATAAAATAATACTTCCATAAGTGTAGATAAACTTAAATAAGTAATTCAAAAGGAAAACACTTTTAAAAGCATGACATGTTAAACTGCACTATGACAGACATATCTAGGTACTCAACATTTTTGTGCATATGCTGTAAAACGTTTTGATGTTTGCCAGTAGATTAAAACATATTAGCGATGGTACAAAACTGCATTTTGAAACTGCCAGTATTTTCACATTAGAAAATAAGGAGTTTTTCTCGTTCATTCAAGATTGAAGATATTAAATTTTGCATTTTTAAATAGCACATGAACCAACAAGCAATAGCATTTTTCTAGAATGTTACAAAGGGAGTTCAACTTTAACACACACTGAATGAGTCTTTTATTTCATCAAGTGCCATTTTAGGAATATGCAAAATCTGGCCAGTAGCTAAGTGGGGAGCCTCCAGTGGCACGTTGCTGTACGTGATACTGATACAAAAATAAAAAAAAGACTCAAACAGATTACTGTCAAGTCTGTAAAAGGGAAACAAGTGATATTTGAACAAGGAAGTCTTATCTAACAATTACTAAACGAATGGAAAAGGAACATCAGCACAATAGTTTCCCTGAAATGTTTCAAGGTGCAAATCAGAAGTCTGTCATCCCTCCCCCTGGTGTTTTAGGTTTTTTGCAAACATGAAGATGGATAAAGGTAAACAAGCAGCTTTTCAAAACAAGGCCTTCGGTACTTGATAAAACACTGGATTACTGAAGTGCAATCAGATTATTTCCAGGTCTCTCTAGTGTTCACAGTTCTGTCCAAAGAGCAAAGAGAAGAAAACATTTAACCATCATAACTGTGTGTATGCCACATACGTCTATCATCACTGTCAGAGTCTACATCCAGGCAGTGAGCACAGAACCACTTGGTTGGTTACGGTCCAAAATCAGTACAGTAGCTTTTCTTTTTTTATATATAATATTAGTTTCCAAAGTTATGTAAATAATTCTTAAAACATATTATGTCTAAACACTTTCAAGTTCAAAATTAAAAGGCTTCACTAAAAAGTTAATGATTTTGATCAGAACAAAATGTGATCAGCAGTATCACACGAAACCCGTCTATTCCCATGGTCCAGTTAGTTGTGGCCTCAAGGAAAGTCTCAATGAGTCCATGGGACTAAAATTCACAAGACGCAGAGTGACAGAGGAGACTCAGGAAACAGTTCAGTCTAGAAAAGTGCTACACTTTAATAAAAAAAAGTGCTACACATCACTTAAAGAAAACGTGGATAGCAAGTCTTGTTTTTTCCACTGCCATTCGTTTCAACTGTTCACACAGTCATTTATCTCATGGAAAGAGATCTCCTGCTGTGAGTACGTCCATTTGGGGTTTAGCTCCAACACCAGAGAAGTTTAGTCTTACGTAAACTAGCTTACTGAAGCCTCTCTGACACACTATGCTGTACTGCATCAGGGTTTGGCTTCTCAAGTACATGTGGCTTCAGATGCAGCCCTCCTTCGTTCAGAAAATTCAGAATATTGTGTGTGCAGCTTTATTACTCCTCCCAAAATGTAACACAACTGTCTGTGGAATTTAAAGTTGGTGTTACCCCCCACTCGGTGAAGTGAAAGACTATTCTACAGTAAGTAGAGAGGACAGCTAATACCTTGCCAGAGCTTGAAGAGACCTTGTAAGATCATGCAGGCCAGCATCAGAAAGTTACAGAACATGCCTAGGAGTGGAAAGGTCTTGTCTGTAGAGTTACATCAGACACCTTTTAAAGTGTTAGCATCTTCAAAAGTAACATGTGCCACTTAAGACATCTTAGAAGAAGCCTAAAAATACAACAGATGGGCTTGAGTGCTGGTAGGAGATACAGGAGCTTCACAGGGGCTCAGCTGTGTCTTTGGAAGAGCCTTAATGATGGGCCTTAGCTGCTGTCTAGAGCAAGTCCCTAAAAAGGCATCAGTTGGTGACTCCTTTTGACAGAATGCAAGTTACAAGCACTAAAGAAACAGCTTTCCCTCCGGCCTACACATTGGAAAAAGTGCCTTGAAAATGAGAAGCTGAAGTTAAGGCAAGGAGAGTAATATGCAAGGAAGTTAATTACCTAGCCAGAGGAAGAGACAGATAGGGAAATCAGCTTGGATTACCTGATGAAGCATCTATAGGTTTGGTCAATGAATTCACTGCACCATCTTCCTCAAAAGCCAATTTGGGACTAGAAGGTATTGTAGCAGCATCATTCAAGTTTTGATTACAGTTACCAGCAGAGATGCTGTCCGAGCTTAGTTTGGTTGACTTGGAATGTACTCCAACGTCAATAAACTCCTCAAAAGTCCACGAACCAGATTTTCCATTAAGATTCTGAATAAGTCCAATTGTACGATCAGCTTCGTTAACACCCAACTTCACTGAGTCATCGATAACCATTTCTTCTGCAGGATGGCTAGGAAAAAAAAAAAAGAATGGATGCTTATATTACAGTTTCTGCATGTTTAACCTTTAGACTGATTACAGGCCAGCCAATTAGCAGTCTGCATACTTTGCAAAGCACTGAATATCCTGAATGGCATTCCCAGACAAGCTCCTCCGGCTGCCACGCAGATGTCCCCTCCAAGAGCCAATGGGGAAGAACGACTCACCAACATACAGACACTTTTTACTATACTAATAGCTCTCAGGTAAGGTATGGCTCCAGATATTTGATAGAAGAAAGCAACAAGTTTAAAGCCCTGCACCATTAAACCCCTGTTTTAGTAGTGTGCATTTTTCCTTTTTTCCAGTTAAGACTTTTTAAACACAAAACTAAGCCTCAGAAGACTAGCAATATTTAAAACATTAAAAATCTAAACCCAGATCAGAGTGATCAATTTTGATTCATTCTTAAGAAAATCATGAAAATGTTTTTGTATTCCATCACTGGAGGAATGAGATTAATTTATTATCACTTTAAAAAAATAAGAGTTCACAATGTCGTTTCTGAATCATTAGCATTTAGATGAGCAAATGGAACAAGCATCAGAGGACAGACTTTTCTAGTAGTAGATGGAAATGCTTTATGTTCAAAAAGATAAAATTTGAAATACTAAAATTCCCATTAAGGGAGGCTTCTGTGTTGTATCTGGTGTTTCAGCACAATTGAAACTGTTCTAGACCTTTCTGTATGTTATTCTTTCTTTTCAGTGTTGTTCCCCTCCCTCTTGTTTAACGTTGTTAGTGAAAAGAACTGCTAGCCATTTCAAGGGAAAAGATTTCAAGCCAATGCCGTTCTTTATAAGTAACACTGCCACATTGCTGGCTATGTGTCTCACTTCTTAGCAAAGCCAGTACTGTTAACATGGTGCCATCTAAACAAACAATTATCCTGAACTAACTGCCTCTGCGTGAAGCAGTAAACTGACAGCATGCGCACACCACATGCCTGGAGCAAGCCAGAGAAATACCACAAAGCTAGCGGGGTGCAAAATTCGAGGCAATGCTACATACAGCACTAAATTTATTTTAAACATAGAGAGATATTCCTTGTGTGACGGATTAACTGCTCTGACAGTAAAGCAGCCACCTACACAGACTCACCTGGAATCCTTTAATTCAGTAACAAGAAGAGACCCTTCATCACTTTTCAAATCGCCTCCATTCATGAACACTTCACTGGCCTTCAACTCTGACAAATCTTTTTCCTCAGATTCCGTAGAGATCAAGCTATTCGCAGTCTCTAAACAACCCTCTGCCTCCCCCTTGACTTCCTGGGCTAACTCAATGCCATTTAGCTTTCCTGAAAGTGTGGGGGAAGAAAAAAAAGCAAGAAAAAAATAAAAATAAAGAGCTTCAGTAACAGAATTGCTATTCTAAATGAATAAAATACAAGTGCTAAAATGACCTTTCCTAACCAAAACTCGAGGCACTTGGCTTCAACAGATTCATTTCTCTATAGACAAGCTGCCTGTAACAACATGAAATTTGTTTTCCATCTTTAAAAATACACTCATAAAATGAAAGCACGCTGCCTGCATTTCACTCTCAAATCATTTTTGCATTTAATCATTTTGACCGTCTCTTGTGGTATGGAACAGGCAATGATCTACTGAGCCTCCCTGGCATTTCTGGGACTTGTGTCTCAGACCATCACAATGCTATTATGTGAGTGACCTTTTTAGCAATGCTTAAACATCACTGAGACACTGACTGCCACTTAGACCTGACTCATCAAGTTTCCTTACCTGGTTGATCAGTCTTCTCAAGACCCAACTCTTCCTCCTCTTCAATATCCTCTGCCTCCATAGCCTCAGAGGCAGACTTCCCTTCATTCTGCAACTGAATTGCCGGAGTGTTATTTGGAATAACTCATTACCCTCTAGCTAACAGGACAGTTGCACAAATGGTTCAATCACAGCTCCCATGCCAGGGTATTTATTCTGTGCCCAGCAGTAAGGCCACACTAGTCCAAAGGCTAATAGACAATCAAGTCACCCAGCAACACATGCTCTGCTGAGCCAGAGCCTGTAAAGAAATATGTGGGACCCACTTCCATCTCCTACCTATGAACTATTCCTGAGTTCCTTTTCCCCTCATTTCTCCAAGGTGTGTGCTAACTATTTATTCATTTTCAGCTATATGAAGACTTGGGTCTTTGAATGTTCAGAGAATAACAACTACTCCTGAATACAATATGCATAATTTACCACAAACCTTAGGTCACTACATTTAACAAAAATATATCCCAGTTTACTGTAGCAATCCAGGGGGGATCCAAAATTTGCTTTAAGCAAACAGATGAAGCCAGGAATTTAAGTTTTCTGGGGAAAAATAGCCCCAGAAGAATGCATACAGTTCAAAAAAAAAAAAATCTAACCAGTGGCTTTTTTTTAACCAATCTGCAAGTGATAACGCCAGATCACATTGTTTCTATATGCCTTGAACAAAAACGCATCAAAGACTTTTCGTCAGAACAAGCAAAGCAGAAGAAAGTGTGCAATGGGAAGCTACTGAAAATTACTCTGGTGCACCAGGACTCTGCACTTCACATGGAAGCCAGTTTGAGTAAGGATAAGAGAGGAAGACAGGATACAAGGCAAAGCCTTCTCTGGCAAGGGCCTATTCTGTCATTATACAGATTCAAACAAAAAAGTACCTTGGATTCGTTTTGATCTGACTTTCGTGTTCTTTTCATTATTTCTTCAATTCTCTGTTAAAACGGAAAATAGTTGCAATGACATACAGAACTTTATATTTCAGCACTCTGGTTTAAATTTTCAGCAATCATAATTATTTTCATGTTTCATAAATTTACTACTTTATTCACCATTTTAAAGCTCACAAGCCAGAGTTGGCTTTTAGAAAACCCCCACACTACTTCTATTTAAATGCATCTAAGACAGTTTGCCTGTTCAGTTTAACACTTCAACCGCTATTTTAGGCTGAGAAACCTCTCTGCTTCCAAAACAGTATACCTTTTTTCTTTCAAGCCTTTCCTGCATATTTTGCCGCATAATTCTCTCTCTTTCCAGCCGCTGTCTTTCAGCCTCTTCTTGGGCTTTTGCTTCAGCTTCTTCTCTCTGAAAATAAAACAAAAAGAAGAGAGCATCCAGTGCACAACTCATTCCCAAGAGTCAAAAGCAGAGCTGTTACAGAGATTGTGGTTCAACACAGACAGGAACATCAGACAGTTGCTACTTAATATTACCATACGTTGCAGCTAAATGCCAATTACCCAGCTACTGACATGAAATATATATTACTATGACATTCAGAAACTGATCTGAAAAGAAAAACGATGTGCATGGCTATATTGTGATTATGCAAATACTCTGAATGATGTTGAGCTACCCAGCGTTCAAACTATACTTCAGGATGAAGATCTGTCTAAGAAGGATAATTTATAAAGTAGCAAGACAGCAATTAAATTTTAAATGTGGCAAGGTTAACTTAAAAATCTAGGCAGTCAGGTATTACTGCCAAGATACTTGGTACTGATCATCTTCTGTTTCTTCCATACTGGAAAATCTTTTCTAGTGTGACCAGAAAGAAAATAGAAGCATAGTTAACACTGAATAATTGTTATAAAGTCAAACAAGCTTTTAAAGAAACAGACACATCAATGCTATCCATAAAATACAGCTCTTTAGACACAAAGAATTCAATTGTAAATTTGCTTTAATTTTCAAAATTAATCTCATTTAAAGAAAGTCCACTTTCTGCAAAACAGCTTCCTTCAGTTAGAAGGATGCCTTTGTAAAGGTACACAGATACTAGCTGTGGAAGACTATTTAGCAACCAGGAAAGCAGACTTGGAAACACTACCAAGCTTTCTTTTAAAGGAATCAGAGCAAGCCAGATGACTTTCCAGACAGACCACCTCCTTATAATCTGTAGCAGTAAGTTGGTAAAGTGGGCTCAGTACAAATATTTTACATGTGCAAAATGGCATCCCAGATGGCTAAAAAATTCCCAAAATACCTGCTTCTGCCCCACACCTGAATTTATCAAATGGGGGGGGGGGGGGGGGGGGGGG